GTCAAGATATTTGGTTCCGATTTTATGTCAGATGTAAAAATCAATGTCTCAACATCAGACCTTATCAACAAAACATTATACAAGCTCCTTTCCTTATTACTCATAAGAAACGTTATGATATTTAAGTGCATTATAACAAAGGAAATGAGATAAAAATATCCATGTGACAAGGTAAAATAGCAAAAATAGTAATAGTGTACCAGTACAGTAGGGAAATGGGTTGTTCCTGACAGGTAAGCGTTACCTGCAGTTCTTGTCACGTAAATCGGGATGTTTTCTGTAGAAAACACTGGATAGTCATTATGATAATGATAAAAGCAGGATTCTTCTACTCAGAAGTTACATTGTACATCTTGTCAGGGTTATAAAAGGTGTTATACATCATGTATGTGTTATGTATGTGTTATGTATCATGTATGTGTTATGTATCGTGTATGTCTTATGTATCATGTATGTGTTATGTATCATGTATGTGTCATGTATGTGTAATGTGTTATGCATTATGTATGTGTTATGTATCATGTATGTGTTATGTATCATGTATGTGTAATGTGTTATGCATTATGTATGTGTTATATATCATGTATGTGTTATGTATCGTGTATGTGTTATGTATCGTGTATGTGTTATGTATGTGTTATGCATTATGTATGTGTTATGTATCGTGTATGTGTTATGTATCATGTATGTGTCATGTATGTGTAATGTGTTATGTATGTGTTATGCATTATGTATGTGTTATGTATCGTGTATGTGTTATGTATCATGTATGTGTCATGTATGTGTAATGTGTTATGTATGTGTTATGCATTATGTATGTGTTATATGTCATGTATGTGTTATGTATCATGTATGTATTATGCATTATGTGTAATATTATATGTTTTATATCAGCTATGTAATATTTGCACACTTTGAATCCATGTATATATTCAAACATCACCCATGTATTCATAACACTGAACAAACAATTTGTAGTGATAATCACGAAATACGAACTGTTCGTCCCCGTTACGGACATCAATACCTGTGTATGGTAATGTGATTATACAATAAAACCCTTTTCTACCTGTATTTATGTTACTGGTATATGAATAGAATTAGAAAATAAAGAAAATGTATACGTTCATACGTTAATTTGTTTCTCAAACAGTTTTATACCTTATAATTATTGGAAACCACCTGTCTGTTGCGACTGATATTTTTTCTAACTTGACTGTGTAGGACACTGTACCGCGTTGACAGAAACGTCGGCTAAAACTTTGCTTTTTCATCGCCAGATTACAATACAAAACATTTGAGTGACACATATCACAGTACAAAGTAATAAAACACAGGTTATCTTTACAGATATATAAGTGATATCTAGCCGATATCGGCATTGCAGACACTGTTATTAAAGTACGATATTTAAACAGATTAGTGTAGTAATGTTACCTTATCAGATACGTAAAAGCGAACGCCGGTATCAAAGTATTACAAAACTGTCTTAGCTAATAAAACCTGAATATCCGGTATTTGCATTAACAATAAAAAAAATCAAATGAATTCAAAAGAGGAAAATTCGGTTAAACGGATGTAATTTCACTTCTTATATCATTAAAAATCTGTACAGTCACAGAGAAAATGAACCTCGTCTTAAATTTGATCAAAATTACAAATATTATACAGGCTCGATATGTCTCTATGGAAAGGGGCAGACAACTTGTCCGGGGTCGGGATAAGGCACTTCTGTAACATCTTTGTATAGTGGACGTAACATAATGATCGGGAAGGAAATCTTTCTTAAAGCTTCGATCAGTTTGTAATTTGTTGCCATTCGTTCCTTTATCTAAAATTAAACAAGGATTCATCATGTATACATAGGTCGCTACGTAACAAGAAAAAGTCGAGACATGTCTTTGTACAGGTGTGTAGTCATTACTACAGAATTATAATGAAGACAGACAGTTGTACCATTGTGTCATGGTTTTGATGATAAGAGACAACTTGTGTCGTCTTAACTCTATTTACTTTTCCTCTGTATTTACATATCCTTTCAATATATGTGATACATCAGAGAAGGATTTGCCTGAGGTAAATATTTGAGACATTCCAGTAATTGGTTTTTCGATCGGACAACCTTTATTGTTAGTGGAATAAATGTTTTGTTACGTCAGTTTTCTAAAGGTGCGAAAGTTTTACCTGTAACGTAATAAAGACAGGTATATATTATACAGGTAAGATTTGTTTATGAAATACCTACTTGATCTACAAGGTATAGGGCCAATATATTTGTTGATGTGAGCTTAACCTGTAAATATTTAATTACGTATATGTGACAACGAGGTGTTATCTTTTATGAAGTACAAATGACATTTACTCAACCCTCAGTAGAAAAGGCAGCTGTTATCACTAATTAAGTAGAAATTCCATTATCTCAAAATTAAATAATGGGACAGGTAGTACCATCCCAGCCGCTACTGAATGTATTAAGTATTTCTCTCCGGCAGACGACACATTCCGCGGGAAAGGGATTGCCGAGAGTAGGTTTAGTGAAACCTCACATTACACGGATGATATCATTGTGGGTAATTGTGTAGAACTTTTGAACAGACAAGTGCAAATTAAGGCACACATTTCACCCGCAAACAGGAAACTTAAAACCAACAAATATTTGTAATTTTAGATAAATTTCATAGAAGTCACGACGAACCTTCCTTTTTTCAAGTGAACGACGGGGTTTGCCTTTGAGGCAAACATATATCGATAAACCTTCAAACAGGACGGAAAGAATTTGTCATTAAAATTTACATAGAACCATGAAATTTAAAACAGAACACACATGTATATTCATGTTTGTGTTTCCAGAGAAGGCCATCAACTGATACCGTTTTATACAATAGTGAAGTATATCCAAAAGATCAGTTTGTCCGCTGGTTTTATACACGTACTTTAAAAGTGGCGTGTTCTTACTTCTTCTCTTTTTGTTACCTACATCTATTTTCTTTTTTTTGCACCGACAAAAAAGCGATAATTTAACACCAAAAGCAGACACAGATTTCAAATTGTGTTTGCATTGCTGAAGTAGAATCCGCTGATATTGCTGTCTCGTGGGTGATCAAAGCATATTTTGTCTGGTTTTACTCGTCTGTATCAAAGTTTAGTGTATGTTGACGGGATGTGTAACGTAGGGGAAGTGTTTTCGATTGGATTAACAGATATGTAAATATTTCTCGTCCTGTTGATAATTTACTTAACTGTTTCCGTTTTATTCAGTCCTTTAAGATGTAACTGTCACGTCAAAATGTTCCGGACGCTTCGTTAGATGCTAATGAAGTACCATAAAATATTTAACGTTTACATTATGTCCTTTTAATAAGGATGAAAATATACGATTTCTTTAGGAAGTCTTACAAGTTACGATGAAAAATTGAGGAGTGAATTTCTTAATCTATGACAATGATGATACAGAATTGCCGGACATCTCCGTTCGATAATGTTATTTAAAATTGCGTCTGATGGTTATCAAAGCATGCATGCACTTCTCAAAACTGCATATCATGATCGAGTGATATTACATGTGTGAATTAAAAAAAATACAACCAGCTCATGAATTGTTATTGCATAATAACGTTTGATAAACACTTTCTTGTGTAAAAAAATTGATAAGATCTTATCTCATGCAAATAGAAAGACGACTATTATAATTTTCAAGGATGAATCATCAAGACCGAAAGTTGTACAATAAACATCAGGTGCACCTGCAAGCGGATGTCGTGAAAATGCACTGCACGAGTTGTCATAGACTCCAAAGAAAAATTATTTCACCCTAAAAAAATATAATAATGATAATTACGACCTTCTGTCAGCGTTATAATGTGTGTATCCAAATGAAATGTCCTTTATAACCACTCTGATATCCGCTGACAAGTAATTCTCGAGTGGAATCATTTCTAAAGCTATATTTTATTCTACCGAGTCAGAAATGTGAAACTAATTTTCGACGGTTAATTTGAAATTCACAATTATGGTTTACTGCAGAATGATTTTTTCTTTGGTTAGTAAACCATGTACAGGTAAGCCTCCTGGAGATGCGTTAGACCGGTTTAGGACAGTTGATCTTATCGAGTGATAGTATGTGTGCTTGTCTGAACAAAAATACTGAAGTTGTTTTATATGTTGTAATATCGTCATTTCTCAATAGTTTTCTGGTGTTTGAAGATTTTTTCTAGAAGAACAGTATTATATATATATATATATATATCGTTCAGAGCAAGTAATGTGTGATGTTGAGGTGTCGGCCGAGAGCCATCATCTCCCTAGGACATGGCCATTAATTATTGTATACATTCTAGTCCAGGGGAGCCAAATATGTCATCGAGGTTAACGTTTAAAGGTCAACTACCTGTGTGATATCTAGTATAGATTCATTACTACATACACATATTGCTAAACAAAGCACTATATGATACATGTAAGATTTTATAACAGATCTTAAAACTAACATTCAAACAACTTATTTCAAAACTGTCTAGTATTAAAAACTAAAATCCTGCTCAGCGTTGACGCATCAATTTTGCGGATTTTTCGAGTTTGGCAAAATAAGAAATGAAGTAAATCTGGTTTTGTGAACAGAAAAAAAATGCATCGTACATGGTGATTGGTTTAACTTGGAACTAAATTCCTTAATATGTGTAAAGTCACCATGTATCGTAATATAGATATATACACGTGACATTGTACACAATTATATCATATGTTATGTGCCCTAAGTGCAAACTGACACACCAATGTATTGTTTAATGGAAGTTGTGTTTTAAGGAACCATTATCGTGTATCTTTTTACAAATATTAACATAATTTACTTACATTATTTGTAGTAAAAACAATTAAGACAAAATGTAAAGTTATTTATAGTTTATTTCAATAAATAAAAATGTCATCGGCTTGTAACATAACAAAGACTAGTGTAATTTATCATAATTTAACAAGAACACATTTTCAAATCCATGTCTCAAATAATATTGCTAAGAATCTTTCCATGAAAGCCATTGTCATTGATTACATATTAAATGTATAGCACCGTAGTTTATGTAAATTGTCTTTTACAAAATGTTGTGAAGTCCACAGACAATGTTACTGTCACAATAAGTGGTCCGAAGAAATCGTAACCATGCTTCTGGAAGAGTCATTTTTGATCAGTTGCTTGGAATGGAGATCTAAACGTATCGTTATCATTGGTTGATTGGTATGCCATTGTAAAAGCGCCATTTCCATTGGACGATCGTCACAGCTAGATGACCAATCAGAAAGATGTTAACTTCATAACTGCAAATACAAAAAGAGAAGTATTGTTAGAAATGATTATGAGATCAGATGAAGTTACTTTTTTTCTGGAACACATTTATTTATCAATTTATTTATTTGTTTATTTATTTATTTAAGCACTAATTTAATCATTGTTACAATTCTAACATGAATTAAAGAATCCGTGTAGACAGGTTTGATGAAATCAATATGTACCTCATTACTCTTTGAGAAGAACACCGTCGTCTGGGTGACGTACGTCCGGTCAGGCGATATTTGTGTTAAATTGATTCAAGTTGTTGTTCTGCTAAATGTGTAACATTTAGTTTTTCAAGACTATCATGTTCTTCGTCTTTAATCTTTGTGTACTTTGGATTTCAGCGATACATTATGAATCACAATGTTTGTCTATTGATAGCACTTTCGTCGTTGCGGTACCGTCCCAATATTGCGTCGTGTCCGATATCGTGTATGTCGGTCAAGGCCAGAAACGGAAGTACCCGAGGTTTGTCTAGCATTATGACCTTGACCTATATCGTGACTTCTATATCTGTCTGGTAACAGTCCGACTCGTCATAGCCGGAGTCTATAGAACTCTGTGCACCGTGAATAATCTGAGGCTTTTTCACATCCGCTTGAGATTCACTGGAACAACCGTCCTTCACTCGTAAACATTCCATCCCGCGCACTCTGCTGGTGAGATTGGTGTTGCGTTTGCCATTGTCACTGACAGTCAAGCATGTGTATTTCATGTTGGATGGTTTATGTAGCTCTTCATCTGAATCATATAAGTCCATATCAGAAAAGGAATCACGACTTCCTTCCAAATCCTCATTACTTTGACAAAGAGATTCCTTACTAACGCCATATAGTCGCCTCGACTTGATATCCTCTATTGTCTCGTTCAAGGTCAGCAGCTGTTTCATCAAGGACAAATCCTGGTCCATAAGAGAAGCCTGGAAATAAAGAATTCATTTTATAATTTCTTGTTATTTATTTCTGAGTCACTTCAGTGTTTGTATCATTTAAGAAAGAAATATTACGTGACAATGTAATTACCACCAATTTGACTACAGTATTAAAAGTTCATTACCAAAGGTCAGTCTCGTTCCCATACGACAACATTTGAAATAGAATAGGATGGGAACGAGGATGAGTAATCAGATGATGGCCACCCCCTACTTCGCTTTTAGTACTTAATGACACAGACTAACAGAATCAGCGAAAAGACTGATGCCGCATTGATAGAAGATGGATCTACCATGATTCGGCAAAATAAACAAGATTTTAATGACTTTAGCCTCCTACAGTAAGTCGTATAAAGCATTATCGTCGTAAGCATAAAACTCATTCCATCTGCGCGGTATTTAAACTCGAATCTGTTGTGATTCGTCTAGAATAAACAACAATATGTCTGTGTATACCTCCCACCTATATAGAGGTTTAATCTCATTATACTTGTTCACTCGAGTTTGAAGATTCTGATAACGAAGGTATACTGTTGACATGGACGGTCTAAACGCATTCCAATGCTCAGACCAAGCGTTGATGGTTTAAAACATGTATTTGTAAGCGATTTTATTGGCGTAATCTACATAATATTTCAATCACGCTAACACAACCTGTGGTTTGGAGGGCCCCCTGCTAAGAAGCAACAAATGAATTATTGTATACACAGTGAGCCTTATCAAAGTAAAGAATCCCAAGTGCTCGTGTTATATCTCGGAAGTGGGTTTGTTTAGTGTGATAACTACTGCAATAGGATAATACAATAAGTCTTTCAGTAGAGTTCTCTCGCCAACACCACAGGACTAGATTTTTCATATAAATGTAGTCAAGTTCGTTTTGTTTTGTTTTAATTGCAAACAATTGAATTCGCGTTTCAAATAATCAAGAATTTTAATGTTGTTCACGTGACTGGATAAGCATTCAAGGTATTACCTTTATGACCTTGCACCGGGAAAGACAAATCACGGAATTCAAGATTTAAAATAGCCCCGAAAGTGATAATAAAACTTTATATCTAAACTTGGGAGGAAGTTTTTATGGTGTCCACCTGTGGCTCGCGTGATGTGGGTATCGGGAAGCGACAGGTATACCGTAGAGCGTCACACTGACAATAATAGATACCCGTCCTATCGTATGTCACAAGATGCAACATGGCATAAAATTGAATCAGCTTTATTTCTTTACGTAGAAGATAATTTGACGTGACGGGATGGAGGTTTTCACACCAGTCTGAAAAGCCATGCAAAGAATTTCCCAATTTATTTTCAAGTGAATCTAAATGCAAATAGCGTGACTTTAGAACAAGGCCACCTGCCAACCAATAGGATGTACACCATATCCTGTATATATATCCAATATATCCTAAAATCGGTCGGGTAGACAAAATCGAGAACATCTGTTTGCAACTAAAGATAGATTAAAGAGATGGAATATTTGTTAGCGCTCACGCGTGCAAGATTAAAACATTAGTGTCCGTGCTATAGAATATCATCTAATCTCAAAAAATCACCACGAAACAGGCAATGACATGAACACCTGCTTGACCAGTGGGACAAGCATTGCACACCTGGACATTTGCATGAAATCGCAATCAGACCTCAGACAGGTAACAAGACAACCCAGGCATTATCTGATTGTCTCATCTCCATAACATCGTCAGGTTGTCGCGGTGGCTATATCACCTGTAGCGGTATAGGTCCACGTAATTATATAATATCCTAGATAGAAGTTTGGATTAATTATCGGCCAGCGCCTTGCGGACTTAGGACAAGTAGCCGAGGGAAATGTACGACATATTGTTCTTCCTACCAAAGTCGTAAAGCTTACTTTCGACAGGGAAATGTGGATTTAATCCCATCGTTAGTGTCGAGGCTATTAAGACCGCACTTGTTTATGATTATTGTTACATGTTTACTAATAATAGGTCTAACTTTTAATGTGTTTGTGTACAGGAATGTGAAATAACACACAAATCTCGTCTCGACAGGTTTTAAGACCTAGTTTCTACAGAGTTGACTGTTAACCGTTAATGTCCATACCATTTAAACCAAAACTAATATTTACCAAACTTAGACTAGAATTAAAACGTCACACACCAAGAAGAACAAACAAAACAAATAACTATATATACCAAATCGATTCAAAGACTTGCTAAATTGATATTTCGCCAAAAACGTGCATTTTTTTCTCGTTACCTGCATACAGAAACGGATTATGACTATACTGTATTGGTCAAACGAGACCTTTTGATAACAGATTGTGAAGGAAGTTTGAGTTTTTGTTATTTGAGTAATAGGACAGATGTTGTTTACAATATCTACACGTATTAACCCTCAGCTTTGATCAAGTTTGATTTTCAGTGAAATATTTTATCAGTAAATCACTATAACAAGATAGGAACATATACGTCATTTTGACGGCAGGTCTCAAAAAATTTATTTCAATCCTGCTCATTATCAACCAGGTCATGTGCTGAACGTACTTAGTGTATGTTTCAGTGGCACTGTTAGAGGCAGATGTTTAACATGAGTTAAGGATCAAATGAAAAAAATATCGGTATAGCTATTTTGGGAAACTCATTTTTGTAACATAATATCTAAATTTAAATAGACGATTGTTAGTTATGTGTTCGTAAATAGATATTTATCATCAAATATACAGGTATTCCCGTCTTTGATTTGATATCGTACAAAGGCTCGACGAGAACACAACACACTTCAGACAGATATAATATTTCAAAGATCTAAATATAATGATGTTTATACACGACCAGTAAAACGACAGATAATCGTGTGACATCTGTATTCAATATAACATCACAAATAAATCTGGTCTATATTATAAGATCAAATTTAAACCGAGATTTTAATCTTTTTTTTTTCTAAATTCAGATATAAAAATGTTTTTTGTATCAAAGAACTTTTTCACCGATTGAATTTGAAGAATCAATGGGTACAAATCTCATTAATAACGAGGAAAATTTTGTTTCTTAAAATTAAACGACTCTTTTAACATAAGTACAGACCTTAAGCAGTGTTAGTACTTGAAAAAAACGGATGAATATGATATTATATAAAATGCTCACCATTTCTCGCCTGAGTTTGTCCATCGCAGACTCTATGGGCGACGACGGTTGCTGTGACTGTGGTCTCCGTTGTTTCATGGCACGATCTGATTTTGTTCTGATTTGATCTTTCAGAACTTCTGTTGCTTTCACTCGCTTGATATAAAACTCCCTACACGCATTGGAGAATTCTATAGAAGCTGTATATTTGTCCGAACTGGACATGGCCACGGATCCTTCCATGACTGTTATGTCCGAAGTTTGATTCAAACTGTCCAGAAAAAAGCACTGTCACCACGTTAAAGTCCCAACAATTGAAATTGATGAGTCACAGATATCTATCAGAGATATATCAACAACTTATATCCAAAGGCAAGTGTTGGAGATTCCCAACTAAGATTGTCCTACTCTGTTAATAGGAAACTGTTCACGGTTGAGCAACTTCTCTTTGAAAAGGTAGACCAGCACTCTGTTGGACTGCTAAAATGTATCTGAGGCCTTTCTATACTCTGTCCTTCTTATATACCGTGTGTATATACACGGTAACACTTACACATCGTATATATATACGGACAGGGAATGTCACCTATGCTATAAATGAATATTGACCCCGTGACAAAACGACGATCGCTGATTGGTTGAAATAGTTTTACTTGAACGTAACGTTAAGTATGCGTTAAGTGTCAAACTGTACATAGTATTTAGCACTAGTTTGGTTGAATTTGCCTTTAGCCTGTATAACATACCGGACATTTTGCCTTTGTAATATAAACTATCTTTAATTAACAGGTACAATACAGGTGTGTTGGACATAGACACCAGTGAAAAAAGTCACTCAACTTTAATTGTATATCAATGTAGTGTCAAAGCTTTGAAGTTTCTGTGAACAAACGCCAAACTTTGATGTAGAATCTACTTGATTTAAATATTCTCTGTAAAAGTAACCGAAATTCTTACTTTAAAAATCAAAGGATTAGGTAATTTACATACATATTGTATACACAAATGTTACATGATATCCGTAGCATTTTCATTCTGAAAAGCATAAAACACCATGAAATGGTTACTAGGAGACAGAAAAAAGTGGACATTTTACCACATGCACGAGAACATAATTTTCTGTAACAATATGTTTACAATATAGTTTAAACGTACAGAAAGTCGATGAAGTTATTTGCAACTTCAGGTAAAAAGTGTACCATGAATATAAAAAGCCATTTTAGAGACCAATGCTTTAGCAATAAAATTTAGACGCTATGTTACATGAATCATATTTAGATACAAAATATAGATGTTTGTCTGTTTTATCTAAAAAAAAAAAGAAAAGATATTAGAAATATTTGGAATTGCATTTATCATTCCTATCGTTTATCTCTGATCTTTATGCTGACTTTTAAATGTGATTCCGAGATAAACAGAATACAGAACAGACAGCAGACAGTGTCAGAATCTGTATAATTGTTATGTCACTTAATATCGTACAAACTTTAAACAGTGCGTCTTATATCGTGGTCTTATCGTGTGAAGTGTCCCCACTTAGCTCTCACACCGATATCATCAGAGACACATCCGATATAACATTGCCGAGATATTTATAAAGTTTATTACTACCATTTCCTGTAACGGGGTATGATTCGTGATTTACGGTTCCGTTTTCACGCGCCATCGATATGCATCCTATTATTCGTGTGCAAGTCGTGCATGACAAACGACAGAGCGTAGCCGAGATGAAATCCAAAAATGTATTGGACATTTGAATATTTCATGAGAGATGTTGAATTGATTGACAGTAATTTCTAACAATTCACAACTCAGGTAGTGCATGCACGTATGATACATTGATTTTCTCCCAAGACATCTACATACGAGTCAACGAGGCTCTCTTCTTGACAAAAAAAAAAAAAAAAAAATGCGGACTTCAATTTTCTGACTTGGAGACTTTTTAAACGGTGAAGATCTATATATCTTAATCCCGATGTCGGTAGTATCACACATTACACAAATAACACATCTTAATAAAGCATTATTTACAACATTGGTCAAATTAATAGAATCCGACTTATTCAAAACTATTTATAATTTCTATCCCTTAAATACACAGTCATCAACTGATGTGAAAACTTGTAGAATGAGACTAAGATTGTCATTTCAACAGGAACTGAATTTATTTGTCAATGATTGACAGTTGTGAAGATAATTAATCGTTTTTCAATTTATCCGATGTTTCTATTTATATTGCGTGACTTGCTTTTTTCACAGAAATATATACATGTACCAAATTAAAATGTTACTATAAGTGTATTAGTTGAAATATAAAATAACAATGAAAACTTCATGTTTAGAATTACATATGTATATAATAAAAAATTAGTCTGGCAGGTTTGCTTTAATGTTCATAATTGATTAATCTGGATCAATTTGAACTAATTGTTAATGCCATATTTTTCTGAAATAAATTGAAAAGTATTTAAACCCAAAGACTGCATGGCTGACGAGCATATATATATATATATTCGTATATAGTACTCCATGTTTTGACACCAGTGATGAAACAGAAAACATATCTGCAGATAAAGTTAAGTTAGCTTGAAATGAAACCTTCAATGATTTTCACTGCGTACAAAAGAATGGTTGTAAGTTGGAGAGAGATTATTTGTATAGACTCATGTGTTATTTAGTTCTAAAAGCATTTGTAAAATTGGAGATCGTTAAGTATCATTATCTCAGTGTAAGTGTACCTTTAATACAAAGCAGGTGATATTTATCACAAGTCGGTCTTAACATCATAACAGTTTATATACGGAAGTTAGTGTTGAAAAATAGGATACAAGTGTTAAAATACCTGCATACGATACCAATTTAGACATATTTTTTGAAATGTCAAATTATACAAAATGTACAGACAGTGTCATAAGTATATAATTAGTCGTCCCGATTTTTGTATCGCCTCTCAATATGAATGGGTGTTACGCATAACCACAAACACGTATGTAATACTAACAGCATATTCTCATGTCTGGGACAATTACACGAGCATTCTGCCAACAATTCGGCCGACTCAAGTCTATACCACTAATTCAGCAGGTCCCTTGTGTTTGTGACGTGTCAGATTAATGGTTAGAGCAATATGAATGAATCATGAATGCACCCTGTTGAAAACCGTGTGAATTTCCGATAAATCCTTAAACAATTGATTTCTTGTGTCATGTGCCTAATAATAGCTTCCATTCAATATGGAATAAAAACAACATAATTAAAAATATAGTAAGCTCGTGCGAGTATTATTGATAATCGTTGAAGCGAGAAAAGTAACTGTGCCTCTTGTTTTTGTATAGGTATTGTTGTCAGGACGCACCTTTCTATCACATATACTTTCTACTTATGTGTATTTTTTTCCTGATCAGACAAATTTGGAGTATAATATTAATGTCCAACTATTAAGTACATTTGTGTATGAATCACAGATAGACTTGGAGGTGACATACAGGCCCTTTGTACAGGTTCAATGACCTAGGAAGTGTTACAATAGTGACCTTTGTATATACATTATTGGACAAAGGTTGGCAAAAAGAAATCAATGTCCCCATTTTGGACCGACTGTTGAGTATACTGTGAAGTACAGACAAAGGTTACTATCTTCTCATTGTTTCAATAGATATGAAAAACATAACAATGTACCGATACATCTACCCCTCCCCCCTTCCCCAGTACATCATCGGGAACTATTAATAAAACTTTAACCCCTAGAAATCAATTATCAATCTCTGTCATTCGCCTACACGGACATTTATATTGAATCTACAACATTCAGACGCCCCTTCCTCATTCTTTTCCCTGTCATAGCGGTTTATCGAGATACAAACATGTAGGAAATTTCCAATCATTCCGATCCACCGTTGGTGGGAAGTTAATACTTGTCAAGTGACGTCATTTTTTATATTTCTTTTTCTTTTAATGAATACAAGATATACATGTAAGTTAACAATATCTAATAGACTGAAGGTATATATCAGCTTAATTTCTGTGATTTGTTTTTATAAGTCGGTTAGTTGTAGAAACAAAGAAACGCGATAAACCTGTACAGTTTTTACCGAGTTTGTCCATCAAACTAATATTTGTAGAGGTATACTGGGATAATTGCTGATGTTATTACCCAAAATCTCTCTGTTGTTTATTTATTTACTTAAAATCCGGTTATACTACTTAAACGATTTACCATAACTACCAAATATTGTTTTAGTATGTACACAGCTTTTCATTCAAATCGACAGTAACAGTTTGATACGAAAGGTAAACACATTTTTATAGCTCATGGGATTATCGTATTTGTTGTGTTATTTTACTATGTATAAAACAGGACGCCATATTACCGGTCTATGCTGGTGATGATATCATACTAAATTTACCTTGAGGCAGTGAAAATTTTCATTGATCATCTTTCCATATGTTACCTATATCATGAGTCACATAACGACATCCTGTTACAGCTAGTAATACTACTTCAAGATGTATCGACATGATCATACAACCACACAATGTACTTTAAATATCATTCTCACACCCCTCCATCGTCCACCCATCAGTCACAAACAGAAACTTACACAGGCTTTATACGGCCGATGTGATTTGATCTTGCTTATCGATGCTAACAGCCAACTTAAATTTTCTTTCAAATCCCATATATCTCCTTCCTTAATTTCGCATTCCTCCAAATGTATTACTGATAACCCATATCGCTATAAACATCTGATTTATCTTAACATATTCCATATATTTCTGCTCTTTGGTGTGGCCACACCAGCCAGCTAACCCTACAACAAAAATGGGATCTTTAATTTTCCTTTCCTTTATGGTTACATACCATTTGCCACTGATTCGCTATCCCAGGGTCTTCAGACGGATAGGCTGCTGAACAGATCGTTCGCAATCGTCGCCAAGTTGATGCCAAACTATGCATTCGACATTTTACACCATGGCAGGTACTATATTGGACTAAAGAAACACTTACCCCTCCGGAGCAAAAGGTTGCGTAATATTTTCTATATCGCCATCGTTTTCGGTTTTTTTTTCTTCTAGATCTATGTTTAAGTTTTAATATTGTTTTTACTCATTTAAGCTAGTTTTATACAGGTTTTCCGAGTTTGCCTTGTATCTTAAGCTTCTCCCCACATCCAGACCCAGACTTTGATATAGTGCCGATCATACAAAATTTACATGTTTCACACACATACTGTAACTAAACTGTATAAAATAATGCTGGTCACTTTCATATCTAAATAGCAAGCTGTAAAATAC